AACGTGACTGGCTTAACTGGGCCTGTGTCGCCTCCCCTTATGCAGCAACCACCTTTATGTGCAAATAATTCTAGCTGTTGAGAGGATCTGAGCATGCAGCTATAAAACAGCACAGCAGGAACAACCTCACACAGCCTCCCAAACCTGCCAAGAAATATTCAAGCATCTCGCAAACGTTGTTTCCAGCTGAGTTTAGATTAGACATTTGACTGGCACTACTTGATGTTTTGCCCAAATGACCGAGTTACTTATTTGTTCTGAGCCACAGGAAGTCTGGCAGGGGAAAGTATGAAAAGCCCTAAAACTGGAGGGGGTTACAAGGCCACTTAATGAGTTTCACCATTGTCTTCAGTGGGACAAAGATTGCACCTGTGGATTTTATTATGGTGCCGCTTTTAATAATACACTGCATTAACTTGACAGCTGGCTGCGTCTCAGTTTCCCCATCTACAAAACAGGGCTCATTTTATTGAATACTTCTGTGGACTCAGTAGCATTCATATCTAGGAAGAGCTCTGCCTGCTTTGCATGAAACATTGCATCAATGCCACACAGGATGCTAGTAAAGCAGGACTGGAAGGGAATTTATGAGGTCATCTAATCCAGCCTCCTGCTCACGGCAGGACCATCCCTGACCAAACCATCCCAGTCAAGTGTCTGCCTAACCTGTTCTTGAAAATTACAGGTGGAGATTGCACAATTTCTCTAGGTAGCCTATTTCAGTGCTTGACCACCTTCACAGAAAGTTCTTCATAACCTTCAACCTGAATTTCTTCTGTTGCAGTTTAAGGCTGTTCCTCCTAGTCCTGTCCCCTAGAGCACCAGGGAAAAAAGATATCTCCATCCTCCATTTAAAATGTACTGCAATATTAAGTAGATAAAGTAGCATGACATGGACCAAATTCTGCTTAGCTACGTCTTTGTAAAGCGAGAGCAACTTGCTTCAGGGAAATCAACGGACTTGCTCTAGATGAATAACAGACCAGAATGAGATCCAATTGACAGACCATGTTTGTGCAGAACAGTAGAATTTTCACATTATTGCATACTTGTTATTTGGGGGTTACAAGGGTTGGAGGAAAAGTCAGGAAAAAAAACAAGAAATATTTGATTGCCACCACTTAGTAGTCCTATTCTTCCAATATTAAACATAAATAGAAGAGACTGGTTCTTCAGAAATATTCTGGAATATCAGAGAATATAAAAGTTTATCTAAAGTAGAGATGGGAGCTTTTAAATTGTCAAACTTAGCCAAAGACTTTCATACATTTTTTATTCAAAAAGTGACTTGGGATTTGGGATGCTCAGTTTTCCATCTGAAAAGGACCTGATTTTCAAAGAATGGCCACAACATTTGCTGAAAAAACTTAGAACTCTAAAAGATGTGTAAAGTGCCCCAAAATTGAGTCTCTTGGGTCAACTACACAAAACATATAATCCAATACACATTAGTTGTACAATGTGAAATTGTACACATTGGACTCATATGAAATTGAGCCAATCGCAAAATGTGTGCACTATATATTAAGAAGTGAGCAATGTGCCCCAGCCTCACATGCTCCATGCAGTATTTTTTTTTAATTTTACCCTTTGAGGAAAAATTCTTCACCTATTAGAGCAAATTTTCAAAATGGTGAGTTTCCCAAGGCCCTTTCTTAGGTCTGCAAGATCTGACTATGCAGCAATTGCGGAAACAGAAGTCTGTTAGCAAGAGGTGCTGTTACTTAGATTTATGCCTGAAAGGTGTTTTGTAGGTAGTGATTGTTCCCACAAACAGGGAAACCTTGGGATTCAGCTGAGCTTGGAGTATCTTAATCTCTCTCTCAAATATACACATGTACACACACCCGCTCGCTCAGACACACACAGCTAGAGCACTCTGCACATATTTCTAGTTGCCCTACAATGACACTTAGACGTATAATGCTTATCCGCTATCATATTATGACAGGTCAACCACTTTTGCTTGTAACATGAATCAAGCTGGAATTTCAGCTCCCTCATAAAAAAGGTCAAAGTCTCGCACAGAATGAGAGAACCCTGATGGGAACTGGAAATATAGCGTCATTAGGGTGTGCAAATGCTCTTGTTTAATCCAATTAATAATTAGCCCACTTTAATCTCTGTCAGGTAAAGGTCAAACTGCCATAAACATAGTTAATAACACGGGTCTTTCCAGGCAGCAGGAAGAAGCTAGCAGGGAGACAATAAAAAAAGAGAGAAGTCACTAGTTTTTCATCATAGGCAAACACCGGTGGCTAATTAACTGAAACTCAATGACTGCTAACTGCTCAACTTGGCTACACTCACAAATTCATAATGCAGACCTTTTTAGTCTCTTTTATCTGCCACCAAATGGGAACAACTAATAGCTTTTACTATTGTTAACAATGTAGCCAAATCCTGCAGTCCTTAGTCAGACAAGACTCCTGTTAATTTAAGGCTTGGGCAGGGACTACAGAAGGAAGTTGGAGAAAATAAATTATTAGAAAATATTAGTAAAAGATCTTCTGAATTATGATTTTTTTCCGTATAGAAAATGTTATTTTTGGGGGTGGCAGGGAAATTACATTTATTTAAAAACGTTTTTAGTCTTTTGAGTAGTGACTGAGCTGGCAAAAATGTGTCATTCAAATTTTCATCAGAAAAAAACTGCACACTATTTTATTATTATTATATCAAATGAAATATGAGACTGGGACAGCTTGGTTCTTACAAGTGCCATGGGGTTTATAATTATAAAACAGCAGCATCTCCTCCTGCATTTTATCAGAAAATGCATACTTAATCAGGTGTAGGAAGGATTCTATTTACCTCCGTAAAATGAGATATGGGCCATAAGCGAGATCTGGAACATGCTGGAGTACTCCATTATGACAAGTCCTGCGTTCTTAGAACCGCCCGCATGGTTATCTACACTCAGTAGTAGTTGAAAATGCATTGGTGTTCATGCTAAAAAGGCAACAGAATTTCACAATTCCTTACCCAGGTCTATTACTCACAACAGATGGCTTTAATCCTCATAGAGCAGCTGCACATCATGGGGACATTTCTCCTTCTAGCAACACATTCACTCGACTCAAAGACAAGATCCCCTGTCCGTCCCCATCCCCCCTCCGCCCCCCACTCGCCCATTTAACATGGGGAAAAAGCCCCTCATCTTCAAATCAAATACTAAGGCAGCTGGAGGCAGGGGACAGGGGGCAGACAGCTGCTGCAGCTCCAGCTGTGGCCTCAATCCTGGGTCGGGGTTGGAGCTATTGCCTGCCACCAGCTGCCACTGCACCCCTGCTTCTCCCCCTGGCAGCCTTGGGCTCCTGGCCCCCACATCTTCTCTCCGTGACCCTTCCACTGTCTCTGCCCACAACCTCTGCACCCCCCCAAACCCTTCTTCCCTGCCCTTACCCTTGCTCCTGCACAGGGCATGGAGCACAGCCCCAGCCCAGCTCTGTAGCAGCGGTGCTGGTGCCATGCTACAGCTATAGGACTGGGCTGCCTACTCCCTACCACTGCTTTCCTCACTGGGGGAGGGGGGGATGAATTAAAGACTACCCTCTATTAACTGCATTCCAAACATGAAAAAGTATAATACATTTATCTATTTTCCACAGATAGAATCTAATTATTGGGGGGTCATCTTAAATTCAGGATCATCTTGGATTCAGGTAATAAGGAACCTTGTAAGATAACAATGACAGTAAGGTGGGAGGGGAAGCTATGAAAATAGTTATTTCATGTGAAAAAGCAAAGTTCATTCATTCACACTCTTCAGCTTTAACACTAGGATCAGCTGTTTTCAAGCTGATCTTCCTATTACCTTAAGCCCCTGTCCTGCAAGCAGCATAACAAATGGTGGGTGACTGGGACACGAGTCCTGGGGCGCCAATGTACAAGGGGCACCACATGC